TCTTGCCTGCTACTAGACACAATTTTAGAAGTGAAGTTTTGCATGTCTTATTACAACTTTGCCTCTATTTTTGTGTTTTTGAGGATGGCAATGTACTGTACATGTGTCATATTGCCTGTTACTAGACATAATATCATGTATTATGCTTTTGAGGGTGGCTGTTGACATGTACACTATATCAATCAGGTAAGTTACCTATTTACAATAACAATCAATCAATGAAAACACAACAGTACTATCGCGCGGGGATATTTCGCGATTTGCCTGGAAACAATAATAAAGTACACGCAAAATTCACGTATAACATAAATTTCAAAAATAGCGGGAAAACATCCTGCCGATATCCTGCTGTTTTTGGACTGCGGTAAAAAACTTTATAAAATATTAAACATTTCAAAGTTCGCTCGAATAAATTATAATATACTACTCCACAGTCGACATTTTAATTTACCAATTTAAGTACAGATATTTTAGCAAGAAACTATCGTATCCTTTTTATTGCATTTTTAAATCTGCATGTTTTTGCAACGCCGACGCGTATTGTCTTTTGTGCTCAACTTTTCTCAATAAACGAATGAAATTATTGTATTTTTTATGTATTTTACAGCTACAAAAGTCATAAATATTATTTTAAAATGTAAGTTTGCTATTTTAATACATTTCTTTTCTCAAAAATATCATTTCAGTAGCTATATTGTAGGAATTTTAAGCTTGCCTCGAGTATACAATGTATTTTAACCGTATAGTGCTTTTGAAATAGTATTAAAATATGTTTACTCAATATATTTTTATGTTGATGGCATATAAGATCATCTACAAGGAGAGAAAAAGTAAGATTCAACCTCTTTTCTGCCAGTTTACAAACCACTTTTCTCATGGTTGTAGTGTAATGGTAAATGTTTTTACTATTACTGATTTTTCTATGTATTTTAGTGGAAAATGAAGAAGAAGTACTTGGTATGTTTACAGATAGGCACTTGGCCATATATAAGAAATACATCATTTATGGTAACATTTTCTTTTCGCACATGACAAACATGCCATATATATGAAAGATAGATTCATTCTCAAAGACATAAATCAATTTAGTGTGGCCTTTATAATACTCTGGCCATATATATACACATACTGTAGTATAAATTTAGCAAAGTACTAAATATTGATTAAAGATTTTGCCTCTTGCATTTTAGAAATTGAAGTTGATGTAGAGGGTGATGAAGGTAAATAAAAAATATTCAAAGTATTAATCTTATTCATTTGTCGCACTGTTTTCATTTTTTCTCACAACAATGAAGTGTATAATACATTTTATATACAAATTTCCCTTCACCATAGATCTAAGAGAAGCAGAGCAACCTGCCGTGGCAGTGATGGGCCAGGATAAGCAATCCTGTAGCTCCCCCTGCACAACTAAAATACTCTCATTTTATCACAGTAAATCCTGTGCCACCACAATTATATCAACAATGCACAAGTTTACAATATTATTATCGACTTAGCCAGATATAAAGAAATATATATACATAATTTGTGGTATATAACCTCACAATTTTGTTATCCGTTACAGATTTTCCAATGAGCTAAAAGACCACAACCCAGCTCAACCCAATTGCCTTCCTTCTTTAATTTTACGTACAACCCCCCCCCATTTTGTAAAAATGTTGTCCTTGTGGTGGATGCATGAAAATCACATCTATGTATTTTGTTCATTATTGAAAATCACATCTATGTATTTGTGTATTATTGTTTCATTTCAGAAGATCATCCACTCCCTGCACCACAAGGGAGAGGCTTGCCCCCAGGTATTATTGTATCATTTAATTTTACTGAAATGTAATGTATACCATTTGCTTCCAGATAGCTTCCAATTTTTAAAAACTTTTCGTTATCAATTTAATATCCTAATTTACGCGATGTGTCAACCAAGTTTGTTACGTACATTTCAGAACATCATCCGCTCCCTGCTCTTCGGGGGAAAGGCTTGCTCCCAGGTATTAATTTGTAAAATTTCATTAGTGTTATTACCTATGTAAACACATAACACTCGATCAATAATGGTTACATTGCAATGATGCTCAAAATGACATCTCCTCTCTTTTAGGTTTCTGTGGACATATTGCAGGTTAATAAAGTTTGATTGACAATGGTCAGTTAATTCACAAATTTAGTTAGCCAGAAGACCAATAATTTCTTGATATTCCACCTTAGGCGTTGCTACAAGTGTGGCGTGCGGGGCCATCGTGCTCGCGCCTGCCAATCGCGTATGTATTTAATACCTTATGGATTGCCATGTATTGTATAGTCACGTGAACAATTGCAAAGTGGTGTGATGTTGTAAGCATATAACCTTGACTCTAGGGCTAAACATACCAAGCCCGGTGTGACAGAAAGAATTCAGAAGGTCTAATCAAATATTTAAACATCGCTAAAGACGCCGCCGCTGGCCATCAAAAATAATCTATAATGACTTTTTTTTCTTATAGTGACTTTTTTTTCTTATAGGGGCTGTTTGTTGGTTGGGTTGGGTGCCCCCAGCGGCAGACTGGGCGCACAACACAAAAACGAGGGCAGCAAAAGCCCTCAATGCAATTTGCCAACTGCACGTTTGAGAAGTTTAGTGCTTAAAGTGCCCATGTCATAAAATTGGAACTTATCTCATTCGAATCGCCGTGAAACGTAGATTACGAAAATGGTAATCACATTTGAAATTGAGTTTGTTTTCGCGAAGAAATAAAGCGTTAAAGTTTGAAAAATTCAAATTTTAACGGCAAAAGTTTTTGAAATCTGCGACAGTCGGAAACTGGTAACTAATACGTCACAATAGGAACTCGCATATTGCGCCTTTAGATAAATAAATAGCATAGATACAAGAGAAGCGAGATTAAGCAGGCAAAAGTCAGCGATTTAGTTTAGCAGAATGTCTTCATCAAGTTCAGACACTGAAAATACCAGTTCCCAAAGCGATGACTCTGATTGGAATTATATTCCGGGGCCGTACAATATAAAAAGAGCAAATGAAGGCAACCAAGACGCGAATGTTGAAGCGAAGTCAAGCAGCGATCACGGCGTCGGACCATACGTTGACGAACCAGTTGCTGATGGTGAATGGCTCAAAAATTATCGCGAAAAGAAGCAATCGTATGACGATCGTCTCAAGGAACTTCAACAAAGATTGATGGTGTTGAGGATTTGAGTAAATGGTAAATGATTGCTTTGACTTTGGTTGCGTGACTTGTATTGCGTGACCCTTGCCCTGGCATATACATTACGTTTTGTAAATATGGTATTCAAACTATTGTACATTATTTCAGGTGCAAATGTGGCAATTGTCGCATTGAACTGTTACATAACGCCAAAGAGTGCCAATGCTGTACGGAGATTGAAGAGTGCGTTGATTCATTAGGTAGCGATATTGTGCTGCAAGATCTAGATGTTGACGAATTGCCAACATGTATAACTAAACATCCTGGTTTTAATAGCCTGTGTCTGGACACCTGGGCTTTACGTTTAGCAGCAGCTAAATTGCGAACACGAAAGAAGCAGGAGTATCGGCAAACAAGTACACAAGATAGGTAAATATACCTCCATTCTATATTTCACTGAACACATAATATACTTTGTTAATTGCACTTACAGGCCACTGTTATATTAGTATTAACTGTCTTCTACAACATCGATTTCCGCATAAGTGAGTGTGTTATGACCTTATATCTAATGGCCTAACTGGATAATTATCTATATAGATTCTTCAGAAGCACGGCATACAGATCATTCGTATGGATGGTGTATGGACATCTTGGAAACAGAAGATATCCCTTGCCAGCGTGTGCTTACGAGAAAATTAGGAGGGCATTTATGCCTGCTATTGATGAAGACTTTGTTGGATTTGTAGAGGAAGACAGTTCTTAAGTATAATTTTATCTAAACTATTATAAAAATAAAGACCAATTTTTTATACGGATGTGTGCGTTGAAGTTTCATGCATGTGCTAACGAAAATCAGAATGGAAATTTTATCTAGCAACGTATATATACAGCGGATATAGACTGGGTGACGTGCATTTCCTGTTTTTTGAGGTGAAACAGAGAATGTAGTTGTAACATAGTTTTTTTTCTCTCGTAAGCCATCTCGAATCGGAACATGGAAACAAGAGTTTGGAAACTTATTTCTTATTATTAAATATACTTTTATTGGAACATGATAAATTAAAAATAAGAATAATCTACAAGATGTGAATGACAATTAAACTAATGGCACGGCTCCAATTGCTACTGGGACGGCTTCTGATTTTTCGGGCAGTCTTTTATCTTTGTGTGCCCTTTCATCGGGTTCTTGCAAACTGCGCATCTCGGAGGAGCTCTTTTAGCTGACTTAGCAATTCTTGCAGCCTCTTCTTGTGCAAGAACTACTGAAACTAAAAAAATATACTAATTACAAATAAGCTTACTTTCCTATAATGCATAGTGTTTTAAATGCACCTACTTGGTGTTGTTGATGGTACGTTTTCAACAACAAGGCTCCTTCTAACCTTTTGTTTTTCCACAGCCAACTTTCTCTCTTCTTTATTTTCGAACATGGTGTTCATCGGTTCTGGTGTCATGGCATCTAGTGCAACGCATGCTTCTGCAAGTTGTTTTTGTGAATACGCCCGAACAAATGTTTGGTAGATGTCTTCAACGTATTCTAAGTAAGAAAAATAATTCATATAGTGATAATCATCAAAATATAGCAATTCTTTGGAACAACTTTCAATAAAGTGTAATGTAATATACCAAAATTTTGTTTTTCTTTGACATCTCTCACAGTGGCCTGACCGTCTTTAAACTTTGGGTATGAAATTTTAATCTGCAGCGAGCCGTCTTTGTTCTCTTTGGGTTTCCGTGATATATTGCAATTGAAGTGAATAATTGCCAAAATGTGCCTGAACAAAAATAATGTGAGTTAAACATAGTGAAGGTAAATGGATTTAACATTATCTACAATAAACTATGGAGCACGCATTACCTGCAGAATATGCCAGTGAATGAGTAGGCGTTCATTTTGGGGGAAAACTGGTTGACAACGGAGTGAAAACCTTCCAAAAAACTTGTCTGGTCTAATGGAGAAGCTTGTTTTATGCCTTTCACCAACGACTTTTTAGTGATAGCACTGCTAAGTTTGGTATATGCAGGCGAGTCTATATAAAAAAATAAATTATCATCATTATAGCACATATGGGTTCAATTGCACCTACTGGAGAGAATATTATTACCTGGAAGAATCCACTTTCTTGGTTCAAGTTCACCATGAAGGCACTTGTTATACAATGGATCATCAAGATCATCGTGCTTGTCAACAATGTGGCTCAGGAATGATTTGAACTTTGCCCAAATGATCCTACCATTTCCAGAATGAGTTGAGGTGGCACTCCAGTAAAGATGGTTGAGACATGGGTGAACCCACTCAGCTAATTCAGTACAATCAGCTTCCTTTGCCAATTTGGATAACACTTTATGCAACTCTAAAATACACGCAATTGTTAACTGCTTATTCTTTTGGATGTTTTCCTCCGTCTCGAAAATTTATACTTACTCTTTTTTAAGTGCCATAAATCAAAATAATGGGTTATATTAGGCAGTTTTTCTCTCATGTGCTTAGCAATAGTTTGATGTCTGTCGGATACGAGAGTTGACAAATCCAAGCCTTCACCCAAAAGGAAACCCATGCACCTTTTGAAGCCTTCGTATTCCATAGCCGGACTGCTACCAACTTCATTTCTCTTTAAAAAATTATATGTTAAGATCATGTGGAAAGTTAATTTTGTATTGTTCTTACTGAGTTGAAATATCCCGTTAGGAATTCGTTACCTGTATCAAGCTAAAATGAATTATTTGCGGCGAAGTACAGCAAAAGATCGTGTAAGCACCATATTTTGCACTATGTCCCATGCTGTCATGCCGTCCGTCACCCGAGATCACCAAAGACTCTAACAATTTTAGACGCTCAAGGATTTTTCTTTGGTAATCTTGCCAATGAATAAATATAGCAGGGAGCAACAAGGTCTGTAGAAAAAAAGACAAACTATTAAAAGAAAATTGAAATATCGATTCTGCCTTGTTTTGCCCTTTTGGAAATTTGTGGTGTACTGGTCAGGTAACCTGAAATTATATAGTTGAAAATGTTATACATACACGTTGGTGTCTATAAAATGTCTCGAGAGATATTCCAGAAAGACCCATGTGCTGAAACATATGTATGACTTTCGCAGGTGATCCCCCTGAGACTAAAATGGAGAAACTTTGAAGGAAATCTCCAGCATTGACTTTCGACCCAGGCAACAAAGGTTGACTTCTCCAAACACTCCGTCTCTGACCGCAGTTTGCATTTCCACAATTGCTTTCAACTACTAAAGCGCTTCCATCTGCAGTCGATTCCACTAGGACACTGTCCGTTTTGCAAAAATGGCAGAACTTAAACAGCAAAAGCAATTGCGAAAGAAAAACGATGAACTTTGGTTCCTGCCTCAAATTTTCACTGCCAAAGGAATCCCTACAAAAGAAAATTGATTTTTATGTATACTATTCTGAATAAACCGAACAATTCGTAATTACGTGCCTAAGACATTACCTATTTTCAGCATCGCTCTCTTGGTCAGATTCCATATCCTCTTCGGAATGAAGAGCGTCATCTCCTGTTTCCTGTTTTTCATCTTCTGTGCATGTGGTTTCGTCTCCCGTGGTATCAGTGTCATCACCGCCGGTTTCAGGCTCACAGTCAAACATAGTTGCTGTTGTTGATATTTTGCCTTTATGTTGGTCGTCATTGTTTAAAAGTATACTGCATTGAATACCTAAATAAATGAGAGATTTGGGACGCGCGCATAAAATTCGCTGTACTTTGCCACTTTTGAACTGTGGTTTGCCATTTTATTTGAGGTTTCCCTGACCTGCGTGGGTGCAGGTATTTGTACAAGGTGTTATATATAGCAGTAATTGAATAACGCATGCCTTAAATCACGCATGCCTTGAATCACGCATGCCTCTGGCTTGTTTTCACAGCTAAATCTTATATGCTGACTTTATATCTTTTCAAAGCGTTTCGCGAAAAAACCCTTCAAGTTGACCATTTCTTACAGACTTATAGAGTCTCGACAGTGACATTATAAAATATCGATATTAAGCTGGAAATTTGAAACGTGTCATGGGTTTTCCCTGTGGTGCCAACAAATTATAATTATAAAATAAAACGTGGATATACCTTTAGAACGTTTTTCCTTTATCATAGCATCGTACTTTTCTTTCAGCGTAATGTACTTGTTCCACGTTTTTCGTCTTTCTTTCACCAAATACGCACAGCCAAAACAACCATTTGTTTGGGTCGACATGTTATTCTTCAAGAAATATTAAACAGCATCAGTGCGCTATATACATTACTGAGTTTAGTCACTATACCATGCATAACACAACATTATTTATTTATTTAGCTGTTTAACTATAATCACTCACATCTTTTTTAGATTCCACTAGCAAATTTTCATCTGCTAAGTTATCACTCCTTTCGTGTTCTAATGTCAACTCAATTTGTTCTGGCTGATTTGCATCTGTTGCGTTACTGCAACCAGCATCGGTTGAATGCGTTGAAATAGCTTCTTTCACAACCTATTTTCATATACATTCGTCACTTTATACATTAAGCAATAGAAACAGTGAATTTTATAGTAAAAAGTAAAATCAGTATTAGAAAGCAAAAACTGAAAACTACTTACCATTCTCTTTGACCTTGCAGACAAAGGTTTGTCTTCAGAAGAAGTTGTATATTTCGGAATCAGTATCAGTATCAAAAAAACAGAATCAGTATCATAATACAATACATTTTGACCTAATTTCTCTAATACATTATATAGTTCTAATCGAGCATAAGCGGTCACAAATGAAGCAACAACAACATTTCTATTATCCAAGTGAACAGATGTTGACATTTTTTCCTATGTGTTGTTCGCGGACAATTATCCGAAATAAAATCAATTGATGTTACATTGACGGTATTGTCGTTTAATAATTCGCATAATTCCATATATGAATTAATGAAATCAACAACAACGCTGTTATCATTTTGTGCCAATTTACCCCATAATGCGTTTAATAAAAATTTGGCAATTGTTCGTAATGCGGGATTTTTTTGCACTAATTTTATTTTTTCAATTCTTTCGTATTCATTTATGAAGTGATTTAAAAGATTATCATTAATGTTTCCCTCTTCATCAAAACATTCTATTGGAACTCCGCTACTTTCTTGTTTTATCTTTAAAAACGTGTTCACATATTCCCCAAAAATCTCTGCTGACCGTGTATAATCATATACTTCAAAAATTTCAATTATTTCATATCCCATGCCAATTGCTTTTTTAACTTCAACACTTGTCCATGTTCCACAAAGAGAGCGCTCGTCGACAGAATGCGAACAATTTATCGTTTTCTCAATTGTACATTGATTACACAGAGCAAAAATTAATTTCCCCTCAAAACGGAATGGCAAAACAGGAAAAAATAATGATCTTGGTGGTAATATTTTACATTTTATCATTCCGGTCATGTTATTAACATCAATGGATTTACATTGTTCTCGCAAGTAAATGTCAGGATGACCAATTGGAAATTTATTTTTCTTTTGCACATACGAATAAAGAGATGTAAAATCATAATACCGAATTTTTTCACCTTCCTTCACATCGTAATTTAAAAAAACAGGGCATGTTCGCCCACCAAAAAGGCTATCTCTTGGCTCAAGTGGTAAAAAGTTGAAATATTTTAGTTTCTCATGTGCAACTTTTTTTCAGTTAACTTATTTTCAATTAGAAAGTCACATTCCCATTTTTCAATAACTTTATATCCGCGTGATAACATTAATTCTGTGAATCGTCTTGATTTTCTCGCAAATTAAAAAAACTTTCATTAGTTGTACTATTGAAACCTTCGAGCTCAAAACATTTTTCACATCCATGAAAATAACATTCGTGAAACTGATATACAGTGTTTGTGTTTTCATCAAAGCCATCAACACGTCGCCCACAAATTTGCTTTTCACCATTTTGATGCATTTTTGAGTGTGTTAAATTAGGAATAGAATTTAACCAACATAATGCAATTAATGATTGATTGGTATTCCCTCAATATCCTTGTTTTGGAATTAACGCCATTTGATGTTTTTTTAAAAAGTTTAACTTAAAAACCTTTAATGCAACACTTGCGATTGTTAGCATGGACGAATCGTAAAACGGTCGAACATTCGCAATTTCATTCATTAAATTTGAAAAATTAAACATCCCTTTCGAAGAATATTAACATCCGAAACACAATAATAATAAATCTCATCACGAAATACATATGTTGATTTACATTTCTTATTATACCAAGAATTAAATGCCTTTCTTTCTTCATCACCCATTTTTGTTAGGTCAAAAATCGAACATCAATCATTGCACCTTTGTATTGTAAATCGTAAAAGAAATAGGGGTGATACCCTTTGGTTAAATCTTCAAAACCTAAGCAAGTTGGAAATTTAGCTAACGACATATGCAAAAACAAGTAACTATCAAGAAATGTCGCATTAACAAAGGGTACATTTAATCGCATTACCTTATTCCCATTCATTGTAACATTGGGAATTATTTCCTGTTCATTAATTAATTTTCGTAATAAAAAAATTGTGTCAAAACGACTTCCGTTGTGTGCAATCCAAATACTATTTCTTTGTTCAATTATAAAACTAATTAAGTCTGAAATAATATTATCTCCATTATTATCAAAAACATACTGTCTATATCCGCAAACGCAATTTGAACAATTTGCTTTTTTAATAAATGGATCCGCAAATTTTTCAGCATTCTCATCTTTCTTTTCAAATTCCTGTTTTTCACAATATTGACAAACTTTTTGAACCGCAGCATAGAAGGGGATCATTTCATCATTTTCATCAGTTTTTGTTTCGAAGTAAAAAAAAAATAATGTCGGAAATGTCGCTGTATTATTACTTTCCCTAAGCGGTTTCATGAAACACTTATGATCTTTTTCATATGTTTTACACTTAACGCAAAAAGATTTCTCGCAACTGTGATAATAAAATTTACGCCTATTCTTTTGATTTAAAACAAAAAAAGAGCGTGGCACTATTTTAAAACAAGTATCACAAAAGAAAAGACTCATAGACTGACTCATAATTTGATCCTGAAACTTTCCCGACGGGTAGGTTAATTTTTTCGTAAATATCATAAATATTTTCTTCCGTAAAAACATTAATCAATTTATTATCCCTTCTAAGTAATTCAAACTTTTTTGGGTTTCTCAAATGTAAAAGGGCAGTTAGTAACGCCACCCCAAACAATTAATTTATGCACCATGCGTGATACTTCTACCATTTTTTACATTAATTTCCCATGCGTGTACATTCTACCATTTTTTTTGTACATTCTTTTTTTTTGAAAATTGAACACGTGCATCACCTGAATCGTCTTTCCCCTTACCCAGAAACGTGTAAGTTTTTGATTTTCTATTATTTTTAGTTTGTTTTTTCCGTTTAGCTTTTACATGTTCCGGTGAAAATATCGAAATCGAAACCGATGTTGTCCACCCTTCTGCAACTGCATTATCTCCACTTTGCATCATATTTGAAAACGTATCCAAGAAAAATTGCGACGACAATTCACTCAATTTCACAACAGGTGTTGAAAACGGGTATGAAGGCGCATTTAAAAAAACAAAACGCGCATAGTCATTATCACTTGTACTGTTTAAACGTGCGACACTCAAAAGCACTTCAAAAAGTTCTTTTAAACTATCAATAAAATCATAGATACTCATGTCTTGAATTCTGGGTACATTAACTACATACGTTAACATTTTACTTTTAAATTTTTCATATTTTTTTCTTTTTTCATGAATTTGCTCCAATGAAAATAACGTATTATCATTTGCTTGTAAAATTTCACGATGTTCAGTTAAAGCACTTACTAATCTTCTCACATCATCTTCAGATAAATCATTCATCATTTTTTATCAATTAAACGGAAGAAACAAAACAGCAGCAATTCCGTAAATTCTTTTTTTCTTTTTCTTTTTCTTGAGTGTTTCTGTCCTCTTCAGTCACTCCATCAGGAATATCTAAATATCATTTTTTAATAAATTTAGGTAGTTTTTATAAATTTAGTTAATTCTAAATTTTTTTATTATCCATTTTTATGCATGTACCTATTTCAGCATTAGGCGAATGATCAACCACTACACAATTGCATTTAAAGGATCTTTTGCCTTAAAACACACACTTCCCATATCTCGTTAACATGAATATTGTCCCTACAATTGAAGTTTACTTTATACAAGGGGATAAGTATACTACGTTCGATGTCGAAGACAATGATGAGACAATTTGTATATCACCTTTTATATTCTTCGATATTATCGATTTTTACGAAAGAGATGATAATGTAGTAAATTTTATTCCTCCTGAAATTCTAAAAAATAGATATAAGATGATGCAATTAAAAATTCCAGATATTAGCAGCAATGTTAAAAGCAAAATTGAAAATATGATAAAATTTATAGAAAATCATTTTGATAATTATTTCGGGATTAAAACTATTTACTAAAAAAATTAAGAGAAAAATGGCTGTAACAAAAAAAATTAAAATCCAAAATGTCAAATGCAAAACAAACGCAAAAAAGAACAGCGAAAACATGAAAAGGAAAATAATCTCCGAATGAAAAAAATCCAGTATTGCCGATGCTACAAATGGTTAATTCACTTTTAAAAAACGGATCAACAAAAATATGTTTATTGCAAAATATACAGGGAAAAAAGAAACAGAAGAAAAACATCGACATGATGGAAAAAACAGAGCAGCACCGTGCATGATTTGCAATGGGAATAAAGCAAAAAGCAAATGCATAGATGCATACAAAACAACACATGGCGCACCACATTATGTGAACAACGAAAAAAAGGTGAAAAACCGATTAATTCAATCATCACAAGAGATTTGAAATTGTATTAAACCAGAAAAATTCCAAGCAATACGGAATTATTTACCTCCTACGGACGTGATTAGCTATTGGCCTGGAATAATTTACGATGAAATATAAATCAAAGGGAAGGAAAAAAATACGCAATATCATATTAGCAAAACGAAAATTCACAAATCACTTAAGAAAAAAGATGGGAAAAAGGTTTAATCCGTACTTTGCAAGATTAAATAAAACTATACAAAAGAAGACAAAAAATGCTACAATAAAATCACCGTTTATTATGCAGAAAGGAGGAGGAGGGAAAAAAAATAAAATAGAATACACAAGAGACTTATAAAAAATCAATTATTCATGTACCGTATTTTCTAAAGAAATCATCAAATTTAAAAATTCGTTTCGCTAATCTTGCTCTTTCGTCCGGGAGGGGACTGGGGAGGACTGGGTGTGATAAGGGGGCTGGGGGGTGAGGGGGCTTGGGGGCTCGTCCACCCAGTTACTTTAGGAATCACTTTTAAGATTTGATTAGGTGAAGAATAACATTATAACATGAAGTATTAACATTTCGTCAGCTCAAACGGGAAGTTAAACCTTTGCCCTTTTTTAATTTAAATCTATTTTTGCGCCATTATAAATATGGAAATATTTAAATAAATTATCCAAAAAATAAAAAATCGTCGATCTGTGTCTTTAAGATTGCCATAAACCTTGCCTTCGGGAAATAACCTTTCGGAGAAATAGCGCTTTTACCTTCGGGAAATAACACGACTGAAAATGCGAGGAATTGCGTTTTAGAGACCCTAGTAATAAAAATTTACTAATAAAATTTAAAAGTTCGGGGGGATGCCCCAGAACCCCCGCTCTCTCACGCCTTCATTGTTCGTATTACCCCCCACCCAAAGAAGGATCGTAATTTCATTTCTTCCATTTGCAATTTTTCCCTCTTTAGCTTGAGGCAACTTTG